TATATTACAAAAAGAAATTCTATGTATTCTTCACAAACAACAAGAAGTACTAAATGTGATAGAAATACTGAATTTCAAAAGATAATAATGAGTTTTTAAGCTCTCTTGTTATAATTTATCTGAATGTAAAGATAAAAAAAAATTGAGATGAACAAGTATTTTAGTTAATAAGTATGTAAAGCACAAAATTGTAAACATTACAAAAGCTGAAAATGATAATTATTAACTATTTGAGAAGATAAGGGTAAAATATTAAAAGTGCTATTAAATGCTGTTGGTTGATTATCCGTCTCCTCTTCTTTGACCTTTTGTTTCTTTTATAAGTATTCAATTGAGACTCTTATTCTCGCAAGATCCGAAGCCTATTCGTGAAATATCAAGGATCTCTTAGCATAGGCCATGAGATTCTTGGCATGTTACATCATATTTCCTTAACGGTCTCATACATCTAGTCATTCTAAGTCTTAAAGACTACATCATGTTCGTGTGTGGGATGCCTTTTTCCTAAAAGCCAACTGGGTTATGGTTCTTGGGTCTATTATGTTTTTTATCTCTCTTGTTTGGTTTGTTGCTTCGTTTTTAGTCTCAACCACTATGAAATTATAAAAAAGGCATGTTATTAACAATAAATAATCAATCAATTAGTTCTCATGATTTACTTTAAGTTTCAATTTTAGTTGAATATTTATTATTTATTTACGGTTAAGCGTTAAGTTAGACATTAAAATAAATTATACAGACTATTTTAATGCACATATTATTCATATAATCCACCTATTTGTTTCGTAATCTGATTTAAAAGTTCCCTATATACCATTATCATTGATTTAAAAGTTCTATCTATCTAGTTTACCTTGAGAACATCTAATAGTTAAAAAACTTTATAAACAATAAAGACAAATGTTATTGGAACATTGAATATGCCTGGCCTTGCAAATAGAGTAGTTTGGAGATGTTATTCTTTTTTCTTCATTTGATAGTCTTAATTGATGCCATCAGCTGGTTTCAACAAGTTTGTTATTTTTTTTAGGCAGTATTTTGCTTACCTTTACTTTAGAAGTATACAGGGATCCTCTTGTGCACCCACAATCGAAAAGCTATTAAGGTAATGTTAACCCTATTGGTAAGTACTTAATCTAAACTTGAACCAATGTCATATTAAATGAGTTGCTATAAGTTTTATGACTATCATAATTTAAAAGAGTTTGTTGTATTTTTGTACAACTTCTGTTGATATCAAGAAAGAAGCAGAAGCATGATCCCTACCTTCTAATGTTGCTACTAGAATGGAGGAATTGCACAAGAAATATGAAAGTGCAATATGTATTTTGTTGATCTTGTTTATTTCAATAAATATGTGCTATATTTTAGATGTTTTGTTTTGAAATATATGTGAGCTTTTTATTTTGTCATATGCATACAAAATGCAATCATTTTATTTGGAATCACTTTATTTTGCAATAGATATAATGTAAATGAAATACTTGACTACGATCTACTTGACTAAATCATTCCGAATATCATAATGAAATCTTGTAAGTATTCAAAACATTATAATGAACCTCAAAAAATTTATATTTCACGTATTAATAATATTTTGAGTCTATCATCTCTTTTATTTATTAATGTTTGTAACTTCAATCTTTACCTTATGATTGGCATATCATCGTATGATGTTGGATTAATGTTGGTGTACTTTATATTGTGATTTTATCTTTAATATATTTTATTTTTTTTATTTGTATAATAAAAGGCAAACTTATTATAGTATTAAATCACCCCCATGTCAGTTGTCACAAGGAACCTAAATTTTTTACAAGATAATTATAAATTGTAATGGCCTGTTTAATAATCTTTTGAATTGCTAGTTGTAATTTTATGGGTGTTGTATATTAATACTTGAATGACCTACTTGTGATGACTATTAATTTTTATTTCACGCATAATATTTTAGATACACTAAAGCATAAGGTTTTGTTTGAGGATGAGGGGGAAAAGTTTAAGTCAAGAAGCTCTTACACACATGTCATAATTCAAGCGAGCTACAAGGAATGCTAATCAAAGATGACTTTTAACTCAGTGATCATCATGTAGGAATCTATGATGATCTCAGATCAAAGAGCTTAGTGATATGGTTACATATGAAATAAGCTTATAACTTATATCATGCAGCTTTTTCATAGTGGGTCAATCTAGCACCTTGTACTCTTTCAAGTGCCTATGACTTTAATTTGTATTTCTATAATTAATCAAAGTCATATTAGTCTTATTTTCTCTATGATTCCTCATAGATGACCGATCAGGGACATTTAGAATAATCACTATAATTTGTCTAAGGATACAGTTATCATATTGAACATGCAATTGATATGATAACAAAATAAAAATTAATTAAATAACAATATGCATAATATAATGATAGGCTATAGGGCATAATTTCCAATAGATGCACTGCGGCGTGTGGCTTAGTAAGTTCAATCTTACTTGTGCTTGCTCGTTTTACCCTGAATTGTCTTTCTATCATTTAATCCTATTAATATAACATCTAAACAATACAAAATACTAACTTAACACCCAAACTACAATCAATCTAATAATTACTAATTTACATCTGATTAATAACTAGCTCCTGAGATTAAAATTCAAGATGTTACACACCCTAAGCAAAAATCCTTGCACCCTTTGATTGCTGAGTTTACACATAATCAAGGAGTGTTGAATTTTTTCGACAACCTTCACCTGTTGTCTAGAGATCTGGAAAGCACATCATCAATTGTTGGAGGAGTAGTCGAAGCTCTAGCAATCGAATTTTGTGCCTTTATCTTAATTTTTTTAGTTAACATAAAGGGACATTTTGGTCATTTGATCAAATTATTTTATGAATAAAATAATAGACTTGATCCTTTAATTTACTTTGGTCCTTAGGCACAATTTTGGTTTCAACTAAGTCTTTTCTACCAATTTTCATTTTTATTTGTGGAAGATAAATCCAATGTTGTGCTTTCTTCAATGTATATACAATGTAGTGTAAGTACGTCTCTTATAGTGCATGATTAAATTAAAGTATCATGTTGTCTTATTTGTTTTTCGTAATGAGTGAGTTTGTATCAGGGTCACTTTGTAATCAAAATTTCTCTATTATTTAACTGAGCAGACTTAAGGTTAAAGGGTCTTAAGTATGTACTAAAATTACCTTTATGAAAAAAGAGGAATGGGGATTTTTGCAAGGAGAAGTGATACAAACGTTAGGTCTAACATTGTATCGTGGCTTTACAAGTGCTCGGATCTAACTTGTGGTTATATTGAAAAATAGAGGATGTAGGCCAAGTGAATTGGGTTGAACTAAGATAAATTTCTTGTATTGTCCTTTATCTCTCATATTCATCTACTCTATTTTATTATCTTGACATTCATATTCCAAGTTTTTGAAGTCAAGAGCTTTAAATGAAAAATCGAATGACATCCAACCCCCTCTTGGGTGACTAACATATTTTACATTGGGTGCTTTGTACTAATAAGTTAGTAAATTTTTCCCTGAACCATTTTTTTAAGGAACAAAAAACCCATTTTGTTAGTTACCTATTAACCTTGCTATTTTTTGACTAATGTGGTTAGTACGCAAGGTCCACATGTAATGACAAATAGAATTTTGACCATGTTTTTTTAGTGATAATTTGCCTTTAAATTTCTTTTTCAAAAGTGTTGGACACTCTGAAATCTTGTTAAAATAAAATTTAATAAATATTTTAAAATATTAATTATTTTAATATTTAATGACTTAAATATTATTATTTATAAATGTTCATTCAAAATTTATAAATTATTTTTTAAATATTAACAGCTCAAACTAGTTTTTTAGAAATTTATAGATGATTTGTAATTTTTTATACATCTATCATATTTTTAATATTGATTAAGTTTTTTAAATTTTTAGGTCATTCTCTACAACTTTTATTGTCAACTAATGATCTTTTTTTAAAATACTGCACCACTCAAATTTAATATTTTAATATTTGACATTTTTTTATCAAAAACAAATGAACTTCTAAATTAATTGATAAAATGAACTTTTAAATTATGGGAGAGATTTTTTCCCTCATCTCTTCATTATTCTCTTGTTAAGTTACTCTTTTTACAGTACATAAATGGGGTAGGCATTATTTTTCAAATAAAAATTATTGTTGGCATGTTGGTCTTGGTGTATCATGTTTCTAATTTTAGCCGTACCACTGCATTATACAATAAGTATTAAATTTAGTTGGTGTAATATTTTGAAAAAAAGAAGACTGTTAGTTAATAAAAAAAATTATAGAGAAGAACCTAACAAATTTGGAGAATTTGATCCATATTAAAAATATGATCGATATATAAAAAAATTTTAAATATTAAAAATTTAATATTTTAATAATATTTATTAAACTTTATTTTAATAAAACTCCAAGTGCTTGATGCTCTTGAAAAAATGCTTCAACGTTCCCAACGTTTTTGATAAAAAAATTTAAGGGCAAATCATTAACAAAAAATATTATTAAAGTCTTACTTGTCACTGTACATAGACCCCATGCATATGTCACATCATAAACTTCATTCACATGTCATATCAATAAAAAATAATAAAATTAATGGGCGACTATCAAAAGTAATGTTTTGCTCTTTAAAAAAATAATTCAAAAAAAAATTACCTTACGTGTCAATATAAAATATAAGATATTCAGTGCTTTTAAAAAAAATTTAAAATAAAAATTCCTTAATCTTATATACAAATTAACTAATAATATTAATAATAAGAAGTTTTTATATAATGAATTGGTTGAAAACAAATGTCTCAAATAGGTAAGGCCAAATAGCTGAAATGTTTTTTTTTTTTCTTTTACTAAATGAGAGGTACTCATCTGTCTGCAAAGAATGAAAAAACAGTGTCAGCTTTGAAGCTGAGCAAGAGATTTTGAATGCATAGCAACACTTCAGATCCTGTTTGGGGGAGGGGGGCCACACTGTGATTTGTATCTAACTATCTATGAAGTTGCATTCCAAGGTACAACACTATCAAATTGGCTTATCAACAAATGACGAGCATTCGAATTAGAATGCAGGTAGCAGGATAACTTCTGTGAACTGAAAGCTGTGAAAAAGAAAATCTGTGAGAAAAGAACCAAGTTGTCCATCAAGAGATATGTTCACAACAACTTGATAAGATGTACATTCAGTGATCTCCCTCAACATTTGAGTATCTTCAGCATAAACATCCATACCACTGCAAGTAAAAAAGCAAAGAAGCGACCCTCTACAAGCCCAGCAAGAGCAACTAGAAACAACATCAGAGCCCCCGATTCTGAACTCCAACCTCTATCTCCCCTCTCTTGTTCTTGTTCATTACTGTCACCTTCCCCTACCTCCTGATTGGAACCAGAGATTCCATCATCAACCTCCTTATCTTCAATACACTCTAGTTTACTCCAAGGCTCTTGCTCTTCTATACCTTGCCCCTCTTCTTCTATCTCAGGAATTGCTGGTTCATCTCCTTCCGCAGAGCTAGGAACTTCACTGCATGACTCTTCTTCCTTCTCCTTGCTCAACTTTCCAATTTCTTCCCTCTCTTTCATTCTCTTTCCCCTCTCCAGACCTCGAAGCTTTTTGGGCACGAGCCTCTTCACTATCTTGGATTTTAATTTGCCGCTTCTTTTACTCTTGGTTTTATCTTGACTAATTCCACATGCCTCCTCAATTTCTGAACCAACCCCTTTCTTGCGTTCATAGAAAGAATTTAGTTCAGATCCCCCAAAACAAATCTCTTCACAACCATTTCCAGTCTCGGTATCGCTCTTGGGTTCAACAACTTCAATCTCTTCCACTGACGAAGAACCAGAGCTCGATTGAACTTGAATTTTTTCACGAACAAATGATGGCGGCTCTAAACCTTCACAACTATGCCTTTTCCCCATCACCGACACAAGATTTTGGAACCAATCACAACTATAAACCCTTACGGCAAAACATTTGAACGCCATGTTTGCATCGGGGCAAGGTTTAAACCAGGGAACGACATGTTTCCCAGCGTATTCAAGGAACAGGAGCACAAATGCGGAGATTGTGATCCCGAAGGTAAGCTTCTTCACACTCAAAGTCACAACCAGGACCACAATCATCTTCAAGATTGCAGCAATCACCTTATTGGGATCCGAATTCGATCCGTCGTGGACCTGCTCCGAACCCGTGACCCCATCATCTCCATTTCCCGCCAACCGCCTCGAAGTCGAAGCTTCCGGATATGTCGGCTCCGCACGAGGAAGCAAGCGGTGACACGAATCGGCCGAGTCCGGCGGTGGCGGATCAGGAATTTCTTGCGGAGGCCGTTTCCTGGGCTTGGGTTTCTGGAAGCGGCCGCGGTTCTTGACGAAGAGGTCGATGAGGGAGGTGGGAAAGCCGGTCTGGACGACGAGAGAGGCACCGCGTTTCGGAGAGTGAAGATCGGCAACGAAATTGGATATTCGGGCGACCTTCTTTTTCTTCCAGGGAAACGGCATGGCGGTCTCCTCAGCGTCGGCTGCAATTTCACAAGGAACAGTGAAACATAGAGAGAGATCAAAATCGGGAAATCCTCAATTGGGTGATAAGAGCAGAGGAATTGAAGAATGATGGTGGAGGCATACACTAGAAAGAGAAAGAGCAGAGCTTTCCGAGGTGGGAGAAAAGGAAGGAAACGTGAAGAGAGGAAAGGGGCGGAAAGGGCGTGAAAGTGGCAGAGAAAGTAAAATTATGGTTTTATTACAGGAGACGCAGTTTCTACTTTTGAAGACAGCGGAGGTTTTGCTGATGAGAGAGAAAAGAAGAAAGTGTACAGAGAGAGAAAAAGGCAATGTTAGAACCTGAAACGTTCCCCAGTTCAGTTTCCTCATCAGAGGCGGAATTCACAAGGCAATCCTTATTTTTTGGGCAAATTTCCAAAGCTTTCAAGTAAGTTTGTTTCGGTGTTTGTTATTTACTAAATTTCTCGCAACATAAAAACTCTATGAAGTTCTCACCAATGCAAACACCTTTGGACATATTTCACAACTTATTTTAAGTACAGTTTTTAATTTTTAAGAATGAAATGATTAAAAAAATTGTTCAATAATATATTTTTAAAAAGTGTTTTTAAAATAAAAAATAAAATATTATTATGAAAAATAAAAATCGAATAGATCTTTCAGATGTTCTAAAATTATTATTTTAAAAAATAAAAAATAATAAAAAAATATTTTTTATTTTTTAAAAAATATGTACTATAAAACACTAGTTTGTATAATAATAAAATAAAAACAATTTGAAACAGCTATTTGTTTCTTGTGTTTTCATTCAAAATTTTAAAAAAGAAGTGGAATATTTTTTTTATTTAGAAAAAAAGTAAGGAGGTTAAGTCACCAAATCACACATGGCTCAGGAATAGAAACACTAGAATGTTTTTGGGTTCAACATTTAATAATTAACATTAGAGAGAAATAAAATTACTCCCTCCATTCCTATTTACAAGATAAGAAAAAATATTTTTTATTGGGATTGCAAGTCATGTCTTAATATTTTTATCACAAATTTTCTTTACATCCTTATTAAATAAGGATGAGAGAAAATATGTTATTAATTTTTGAGAATGTAATAAGAAATTGCAGGAAGAGGGAAGGAGGAGAAGGAAGCAGGTTGCTGGAGGGAAGTGGAGAATGGGGGGATGGGGATTGGCTGATTTGTGTATCTCATAATGCAAGAGAAGGGAAGGGAATCAATGTGGAGATGCTTTTGCAAGTCTGGGTTTAGAATTGGAGGCTGGCCTTCATACTTGGCCTGAGTTGATTGATGGTTTGAAGTGGCCGTGTTTTGCGGACAAGTGCGGTTTTGGTTTTGATTTTGATAGGGGCAGCTACGGGTTGTTTTTTGTTGTTCTGGTTTTAGTTGTTTCCTATGTTGGACTTCAAGCCTCATGTTTCCTCTCAAAAAAAAAAAAAAAAAGAGCATATGATAACAATGATAGAGTTAAAAATTATAAAAAGAGTCAATAAATTTTAAAATTTTTTAATTTTAATAAAAAATATTAAAATAACTTAAAAACAGATATGATAGAATATTTTGGTAAATAATTTCTTTTTTTGAGATGAGGAGAGATGCATGTTGGTAAGTAAATTGGGGGTATAAAAAATGTGTGGGGTAAATGATTGGAATTTGGAAGGGGCATGACTAGTAAAAGGCAAAGCAATCCAAGAACGAATGAAGAGAGGAAAGGGGTGGCGGGCTCATAATTGGAGAGAAGCAAAGCACGCCAAACTCGGTTGCTTTAAGGAATGAGAAAAAGGTACATTCATTGAGGGAGGGGGTGGCGAGGGTCCAATTCCAGAAACTGTGGAGGCTGAGATGGATACTAATTAGGAAGAACTATTTCAAAGTCATGTACAGATGCACAGAAAATGAAAATGTTCTGAAATCCCACCAATTACACTAATTATCATACAGTCCCAAGATTCTTAAATGTAATTGATTTTTTTTTTGTATACATTTATCAAAATTCTTTCCTTTCAAAAAAATAAAAAATCTCTCCCATAATCACTTGCGCATTTGCTGCCGTAGGTGACCAGAGCCTTGCTACATAAAGCATTGACAGCAAGGCAAGCAGAAACAACAATAAGATAAAGGGCATTGACAACCAAAATAATTTGAAATGTAATAAATTCATGATAAAATGCATAAATTATATCACACTAGTTATTTACAATGAGGTAGAGAGCATCGACAACAAGGTAAGAGAAAATAACGGCAAGCAAAGTGCACTAGTTATTTATAATGAGGTAGATGGTGATGCCAAAAGGGCGAGAGAAAATGACAACAGGATAAAAAGCATTGACTACTAAAGTTTTGTAGTTGACATTAGGTTCCATAAGCGTGTGCGTGTGTAAAACTTTCGTATATGTTTATCAAATGGGTTCAATAGTCACCTGATGTTGTGACCTTTGGGGATCGAAGAGGTTGCATCCTTAAATTGTCTCATGATCAATAATTCACTTTCTAGTGTCAGAACTCTAATGGCTGGTTGGCGACGGCGGTTTTGGCTTCAATGACCATGGGGAGATTAGGAGGATATTTTCATAAATGCACATAAAAAAATAATTACATCTAAAGAACTTGGTGTTGTATAACAATTTATGTAATTGGTGGGACTTTATGGTATTTTCAATTGTTGTGTGGGACTTTGGAATAATTGTGCCTTGGTAATTAAATGTGTGAATATGTATATAATTCCTAAGACCTCAATTCATACTTTTAATCCTATTACTCTCTATCCTTCACTTGAAATTTCTTGCTACCTAACGCTTGTTTCGATTTACATCATTCAACATTTGAAAAGTGCATTCTCACATTCAAAAAGCCAGATGTTGATTGAATGCTTTAAAGTTGTGCAAATGAACTTTTCAAAAACACATATAAAGGCTGACTGGAGTTTTTTAAAAGCACATTCATAATATTTTAATTATATTGATAATTTTGCCCTTACATTTTTATTTTTATATCAAATTATTTTTGTATTTTCCTTTTTTTTCTCCAAGTCCAATGAATTTTTTTTACATTTTCATCCTTTCTTTCTTTTTAAATCGATTTCTCCTGGTCAAGTAATAATTTTTTATTAAAATTAATAAAATAATTTATCAACAATTATTGTGTTAATCATGTATATTACTCGTTTACGATTTATCCCCAATATCTAAGGGAATCTGTTAATTAATATTTTTTCCATCCCAATTTACTGTTTTTTTTGCAAAATTACACGTGGATAAAAAATTTTATTAGATACAGTTTTTAATCGTAATTTTTTATAAGACATTTTAATCTAATATGAAGTATTTACATAACAAAAATTATAAATAATAAAAAATAATATTATTTATAATAATTATACATTTAAACACACATTTCACTATATATGATTCAAATAAATTTTAATTTACTAAAATATTTTTTTAAAAAAGAATTTAAATATAAATTTTATTAAAATAATTAATTTTTACTAAATTAAGTTTTTCTAAATAAACTTTTGAAAAACTAATTTTTTATCAACAAAAATTAAACACGCAATTAATAAAGGTTGTTATTATTAGTATGTTTTAACAACTAATCCCAAACAGTCAACTGAATGTGTGCAGAGGTTATGTAAGTATTGGGCTACTCCCTCCATTAAATTTATATTTTTTGAGGGGGTTAGATGTTAAAAATATAAAATATTTTTTATCTTTTAAGATGTAATAATTATCTATTTTTTAAAAGTTCTTTAATTGATAATAATTTATATTTATTATAAAATATTTAATAAAATTAAATATAAAAAATAAAATTAATTTAAAAATAAATAATTATTTTATTAAAGATAAAATTTGATTAAATTTTTTTTATACTTTTAGACGAAGGGAATACGTTACTGAATAACACTTGGATTGGGCGAGGAGTAAGGCGCGCGTGGGAGTGGAATGAATCCCGTGCTGTCGTTTGACTCTGACTTTTGGTCTCTCCTGCGCACTCTCAGAAGTTGCCACCTTGTCTCTGCCTTTTAGGACACGCACCTTCGGGCAATTTCAGGACCAAGATGGGGTTTAATTACTAAGAAGCCTCAAAAAATTTTAAAATTTCAATTTAATCTAAAAGGATCAAAGTGAAAATAATTTTAACAATAAAAAGATTAAAATACCTTTTATTTGTTAATTTTATCAAAAATATAAAATTATTAGTTATTAATTTTATTAATTACTTATTAATTTATCAATATAAGTTATAAATTATATGAATTGATCTATAAATAATTATATAAAACTTAATATCAGTCAGTCAATCACAAGTAGTAATATCATTTATTAAATTACTAATTTTATTTATTAATTTACTAGTGTCAGTTATAAATTATTGACATTACAACTGATATTAGTAAATTAATTTGTAAAGTTAGCAATTTAATAAATGATATTGTTGCTTGTTTGACAAATTGATGTAATTTACAACTCATATTTGTAAATTAGTAAGTGAAATAAGTGAATAATAACTAATAATTTTACATTTCAAATAAAATTAATAAATGAATAGTACTTTAATTTTTTTTACTATAGTCATCTTGATTGAAATGACATTTTAAATTTTTTGGGATTCATTTATAATTAAGTTACATCCTTGACCTTTAGTTGAAATTTTCCTTTTTATATACTGCTTTTGTTTTTTTATTATTGAAAAAACTATTACTTTTCACTCATATTTTTTTATAAACAAAATCGGGCCATTTCAATAAGTACTTATTACATATTTCTTAAATCATTCCTCATAATTCATACCAAAGAGAAATAATTAATACATGTTTATGTTAATTAACACAGAACATTTTAATTTTTTATTTTTAGATATAATTATTATAATTAACTAACTTTTTAAAATTGTGTAATAATTTTTTTTTCTTATACATAAAAATGAAGGGGGTACATGTGCTCAATTTTTTTTAAAAAAAAACATAGATACAGGAAGGGTGCTCATTTTACATGTTTTTTACGATTAAACCATTGCATCTTCACTTAACTAATAAATCACATACCTAGAATGCAAATTAGATGGATTTGTAGTAGCAGCAAAACCAAATTCTAGTTTTCAGATGGCACTTGAGATAGAGTTAATAATTTAGATGGTCCAAGCTCAATTCAAGTTGAATTCATTCTGGTTGAATTTAAAACATCATACCTTTTTTTAACAAAAAAACTCATATAATCAAGTTTAACTCTAACTTTTTAAGAGA